GGTGCCACTGGGGGCCCTTCTTCTACCACTGCCCCCACCTGGCAGGGCCCCTCCATGCACCAGCAGCTCCAGGTCAGAGCCGAGGCCCCCATTCCTGAGGAGGCCCAGGGAGGGTCCTTGTCCTGCCAGCCACACATCAGCTCTGCCCACCAGTTTCCGGTCAGGGTGGCAGGGACCCTGGCGGGCAAGCCCGGGCCAATGCCTTCTCTTGTCTTTTAGGAGCTCTATAGGAAGGACTGCAATCTAGCGGCCCAGCTGCTGCAGTGCAGCCAGAACTACGGCAGGGTCCATAAGGTGTCCGAGGTAACTTGAGCCCCGCCCAGCCAGGGGCCCCCAGGACCACTCTGGGCTCCTCAGTGCAGGTCCCACCCCAAGGCCACTCTTACTCTTGAGGGACAGATGCTGGGAGAGCCTGAGCCCCTCCTACTCCTGCAGCATCCTGGCCATCCTGAGGCGTAGGGGCAGGCCACCCCCACACACACCTCCTCACCCAGCCCCACAGCCTGCGTGTCCCCTGGTGTCCTCTGCAGGATGCTCCTTGTCCCTGTCTCGCCCTCTGTGAGCCTCGCAGGAACCCCGCGGCTTGGCTGGGGCACAATTCCTGACAGCGCCACAGGGCGCTCTGGCTGGTGTCACACTCAGGCTGGTCCAGGGCCCCTCCCCCCACACATTCCCCTCACCCAGGCCTCTGTCCTTGCCCCCTGGCCCTGAGCCTGGGCCACTCCTGAGACACTCACAAAATAGATCAAACAGTAGCGGGAGGTCCCCACAAGGCACCAGGCACTCCTGCGGCAGCCGCTGGGCGCCTGGCCCTGGCCCTCAATCTTTGTTGCATATGTTACTGAGTCTGTCTTGTTCAGGAGCCCCCGGGACGCATCTGGGGAAGCAAGTGAACCCCCTCAGTGGGAGGAAATGAGGGGGGGCCCAGCGAGACCCTGGTTCCAGCGCGCCGGGCTCTGCGGGGCGCAGTGGGAGTGGGCCCCGAGGTGACCAGGAGCCCCCAGGCGCATGCATCCAGGACGTCCGGGTCCTCGCTCCAGCTGGTGCCCCCGGGTCCTGTCTGCCTGTGGGTAGGCCCCGGGCTGACTCTT